TGACATCTCCCCTATGCCTTCCTCCAATCACCTTAAAATTATGCCTCCTTATAATAGCCATTTCCTCCCTGGGAAAAAGTCTCTGGGTATCCACTCTATCTGCCTCATCATCTTATACATGAAAGAAGTTTTTAAAGTTTTCAGATTGATGAAAACATTTGAGTGGAATCAATTAGGGATGCTTGCAGAAATCTTACGTTCTGGAGCCCTGGTTGAAAAGCACTGTTGGAGGGTCAGTACTGAGAGTGCACTACATTATCAGATTCAGTACTGAGGGAGTGCTGCACTGTGGGAAGGTCAATACTACGTGCACACTACGCTGTCAGAAATTCAGTATTGATTGAGTACAGCACTCCATCATAAAAACCATAAGAGATAGGAACACGAACAGGGCATTCGGCCCCTCAACCCGACTCCACATTCAGTCGGATCATGGCCGATCCAACATTCCTCATGTTCATTTTTCTACATTTTACCCTGTAACACTTGACTCCCCGACTGATCAAGAATTTGTCTATCTCAGCCTTTAGTATCTACAAAGATTCTACCTCCACAGCTGTCCAGGGCAAGGAGTTCCAAAGACTCTCAACCCTCTGAGAGAAGAAATTCCTCCTCATCTCAGTCTTAAAATGGCGCCTTTTTATTCTGAGGATATGACCTCTAGTCCTAGACTCCCCTATGGGAAACATCGTCTCAGTATTTACCCGTCAAGCCCCTATATATATCAAGGAGATGACCTCTCCTTCTTCTAAACTCCAGTGTGTAGATTTCCAACCTGTTTAGTCTTTACTGATAAGACAATCCCTCCATGCCGGGTATCATCCTAGTGAACCTTCTCTGAGCTACCTCAATGAAATGATATATTTCCTTAAATAAGAGGACCAGAACTCCGCTCAGTACTCTAGATGCAGTTGCACAAAGACTTCGCTACTTTTATACTCCAACTTCTTGAAATAAGGGCCAACATTTCGTTAACCTGAGGAAGGGTCACTCAACCCAAAACATTAACTCTGATTTCTTTCCATAGATGCTGCCAGACCTGCTGAGTTTTTCCAGCAATTTCTGTTTTTGTTTCTGGTTTATAGCATCTGCAGTCCTTTCGGTTTTTATTTCATGAACCTTTCTGATTACCTACTGCACCTGTGTGCTAGCTTTCTGTATTTTGTGTACAAGTACTCTCCCACCATCCCTTTGTGTTACAGCTTTCTCCAGTTTTGCTTCATAATTAACATTCTACTCTTTTGTTCTCCCTTCCAAAATGGACAACTTCACATTTTCCCACATTACACTCCCAATTGTCAACTTTCAGCCCACATATTTAATCTATCAACATCTCTCTGCAAACTGTTTGTATCTCTCTTGCAACTTGCCTTTCCACATTTTTGTGTCTTCTGCAAGAGTGCCTACAGTAGATTTGCTTCCTTCCTCCAAGCCATTACAATATATATTAAATAGTTGCAGTCCTAGCACTGATCCCTGTCGATTCCCACTGGTTACAGGTGGCCAACCTGAAAAAAAGAACCTGTTGTCCACACTCACTGTTTCCTACCCATTAGTCAATTCTCTATACATGCCAATACACTATATCTAACGCCATGGGCTTTTATACTATGACTGCACTGTCAAGTGTCACTACTGAGGGAGCACTGCACTGTCGAAGAGGCAGTATAACAGGAGGGCTACACTGTTAGAGAACGGTACTGCAGGAGTGCTGCAATGTTGGAGGGGGAGTTAGGGTTTCCTCTGCCTAAAGATGCTGCTGCACTGAGTCATACCTATTGGGCTGTTAGGTAGAGAGATGATCATTAATTTAAGATTTGTAAAAGGATGCTGACAGTGATACCTGTTCTGTTTAATATGTGGTACAGACAATATGGAGACTTAAGCAATGATAAATTGACATACCTAACAGTAATATAAAATATTACAGCTTCATAAGTGGATTTCATTGGCAAATTGTCTTTCTTTCCATTTCCATTAACAACAGAAGATAGCTGAGTAATCTGCAAATATGATTGGTCATTCATTCTATTCTGCTGTTGTTAGACCTAGAAATTACAGTTCTGGAGAATCAGCTGGTGAATGCATTGTTCAGTATGTATAAAGAAAGTAAGAGAGATCTTTCATTTGAATAGCACCATTCATGACATTGAGGATGTCTCAACTCAGCTCAACTGGCAAGGAAGTACTTCTTCAAGTGCAGTTATTGTTGTAATAACAGAAACATGGCAGCCATATCACAGCAAGCTCCTACCACAGCCATTGTGTTGATGGTCAGATCTTGGTTGAGAGATAAAGATTAGCCCAGGATATCAAGCAGAACTCTCCTGTACCACTTCATGGTGTTGTAGAATCCACTTGATAAACAGGAAGGATTTCAGTTTAATCTCTCACCTGAAAAAATAGCACCTCCATCATTGCAGCATTGCCTTCATGCTGTACTGGAATGTGTCTAACCGATTTCATGGTGAAGTCCCTGAAGCGGGACTCCACAACCTTCTAGTTTGGAGGCAAGAAAGCTACTCATGGAGACCCAGCTGGCAGTTTTTGCCAGAGAAAGGACGCAGAATGGATTCCAGATGCCAACACAACCTCACAGCCAAGGAGTAAAAGATTAGGCAGTGTTCACACTGCTGACAGCTGCCAATCTAGTCACTTTTTGTGAGAAGATGCATGTACTGGTGTGCACCTTGAATAATTGGGTGGGATGCCTTTGTCGTCAACTTGCCAGTCAGCACAATGTATCTTAACTTGCTCACAGATAATGGCAGGGAGATGCTAGGTTGGAGCTATATTCCAATAGGTTTTGCAAGAGCAAACCTGACTATTGATTTCCTTCTCTGAAACAACTCATGCTGAGTTGTGGCGAGTTCACACGAGAGAGTGCGTCACAATAATACCTGATGTTGAGATGGATTGAATTATTCAAGTATGTAAGCAGAGATGGAAATGAGCTTTAATGTGGAGTTGCCCATTTGGCAGTGGATATATCAGAGTCTATCCCATTGTGCAGCATGGATTCAGTGGGCTGAACAACCTCAATTATTCTGACTCTGAGCTACCCATTCGTTGAGAACAGATTGTACTGAATCTCAACAAAAATATCCCAGAAAACTTAAGACTGGACACCTAATGACAGTGGGTTGGGAGAGTCAACCAATCAGCCATTGAGAACAGAGATGACAAGAAATTTCTTTAAAGAGTTCTGAATCTTCAGAATTTTCTGCTGCAGAAGGATGTGAAAGTTCTATCATTGAATATATTCAAGACAGAGGTCAATAAGTGTTTGGTAATTAAGGATTAATTGGATAAGGCAGTAATGTGATGGAAGGGTTCATCAAGAGTGCTATCAAACAGCACTTATGTAACAATAACCAGCTCACTGATACTCAAGTTTTGAGTCCTGACCTCAATGCAGCGTTGGACCGAACATGGACAAAAGAGCTGAGTTCTGAGCTGGGAGTGGTAGGGGATGTATGTATTTGTAAAAGAGTGTGAGAGAGTGACTGTCCTTGTCACAAGACTCCATTTGACCAAGTGTGGTATCAAGGAGCCCTAGTGAAACTACAGCCAATGGGAATCATGGGAAACTCCTCTGTTGGTTTGAGTCATGTCTCGCAAAGGAAGGCAGATGCATTTGTTGGAGTTGAGTGATTTCAGCTCCAGGACATTTCTACAGATAGTGCCGTAGGGCAGTAACATCTTCAACTGCGTCACCAATGACCTTCCCTCCATTGTAAGGTCCGAAGTGTGGATTTTTGCTGATTGGACTGCATAATGTTCAGTGCATCATTTATGACTTGTTGGATAGCAAAACAGTCCATGTCCAAATGCACCAAGACTTGGACAATCTCCAACCGTGGGCTGACCAATGGCACGTACATTTGTGCCACTTAAGAGCCGGGCAATAGCCATTCCCAGCCAGAGAAAATCTAAGCTCTGCCTCTCAGCATTCAATGGCATTACCAACAATGAATCCTCCACAATCAGATTCTGGGAATTTTACAGTGAACAATTCACCTCCTCACTCCCCTAAACCTGCCTATTATGTACAAGGTTCAAGTCAGGCATGTGATGGAATACTCCTCGCTTTCGTGGATGAGTGCAGGTCCACTCAAGAAACTTGACACTTTCCAGGACAAAGCTTATTTGGCATCACATCCACAAACATCCACGTACTGACACACAATACTAGCTGTGAGTACCATCTACAAGATGCATTGGAGAAATTTACCAAGACCCTTTAGACATCACATTCCAAATCCATGACCATTACCATCTAGAAAGACAGGAGCAGCAGATACATGAGACGCTATGAACCTCAAGTTCCCCTCCAAGTCAATCACCATCCTGACTTGGAAATATATCACTGTTCCTTCAGTGTCATTGGGTCAAAGCCCTAGAACTGTGTCCCCACTAGGACTGTGGATGGACCTACACCAAATGGATTGCAGCAGTTCGCCATCACCTTCTTAAGGACAACTGGCAATGGGCAATAAGTGGTGGCCTGGGCTGCAAAACCGACATCCAAGAAATAAAGGGAAGAGGATTTGAGGAAGTAGGTCATTTTGTTGAATGTTTGATTAAACCCAAACAGCCATGCTCAAATGCCCTACTCCAGCTCCTACTCCTTAGGTACTCCTTTTAAGACACTCCTTTCACCTGCCTCTTTGATGTTTCTGTCTTAATACCTCAAGAAGTGATTTGGTGATAATGCTCCTGTAAAGTGTCTCGGGGTGTTGACAATGTAATTGAGTGTAATTAGGGATGTTTGGGCCCACAACTATATAAATAACCAGTTACAAATGAAGTTCAGAATGGGTACCAGAAGAAATATTTTTGCTAAAAGATGCTGCCAGGTAAAGTAGCAGATGCTCAGTCATTAAAGACACTTGATGCTAGATCTGAACGCTAGAGTGGTCAAGATTCAGTGGCCAACCAATTTGTTGGCTTTTCATCCCTGATATTTTCTCTCTCTCGTTTGTTTTACTTCTTTGCAGGTTCCCTCCAGAACGCTAGAGTATCTTAAGAACAAGGGGGTTGAGGTGAAAGTCCTTCAAACAGAGGCAGCTGTGCGAGAGTACAACTTGTTGGCTGGTCGCGGTGCACGAGTAGGAGGCGTCTTCCACTCCACTTGCTGAAACAACAAATCAAGCAATGCCAGGCACCCTGACAACACTTTGACCACTGTGTGACCATCCCTTGGTTTCACAACTTGAAAGGTGGTCTCTGTGATTATTTGCTTTGTGGAATGCGGTTTGAATTACTTAAAGAGGAGGAGAAAAGGCTTTAATGGGTGTGTATGCATGTGTATTGTATTACATAAAAGCGATTTCCATTTCAAACTGGACTGTCTAGTTTTAGTGTCGGCTCTAGCCTTCTACCTGTTCAAAACTGGATAGCCAAAGGGTCATTTTTACCTGCTGTCCTCAGATCATTTTTTTTAAATTAAAAGCATGCTTTGGGAGACCTTGAATCCCCAATTCCAAGGTTAGGCACTTACTTTCCCATTTTGGTTATACATGAAGGAACTGAGGAAGGAGATCCTGTTTCAAGAATGTTATCAGTACATTTTCCCACTGTGTGTAGGAGGTGATGGGGCCGGTTTTTCTTTCGCAGAGGAGTGAGGGAACCTTCTCTCCTTCTGACTGTGCTTGAGTGAATCAATTCTGCAGCTGCACTGAGCTCATATGTTTTATGTCCTGCACCAATATACTACCATTTCAAATTCCTTTTGCCTTTTGTCTTGGTGATAACTCGTCAAATTGCTTATTTTTGTTGCCCTTGAAGAAGATTTCCTAACAATTGCTATCTATCTGCAATCAGCTGAATTGTACATCCGCCTGTGAAATGTAAACAGCAGGGGGTATGACTGCAGAAAAATTGTCTGCTGTATCAGACCGCTTTGAGGTTGGTTGTGATGGAGTGAGTAGCAGGAATTTATTCCTCCTCGTCGGAGAAACATGGAAAATATAAATGGAAATAGCCTTGTAGTCATTTCGAGGGGAGACAGTAGAATAGTGGTAATGTCACTGGACTAGTAATACAGAGGTTTAGGCACATAGTTTCAAATCCCACACGGCAATTTAATTCAATTTATGAATCTGGCATTGAAAGCCAGCCTATATAATACCTTCATAAAATTATGAGAGGCATAGATAGGGTAGATAGTCAGAGGCATTTTCCCAGGGTGGAAAGGTCAACTACAAGAGGACACAGGTTCAAGGTGAGCGGGGGAAAGTTTAAGGTGATGGATACCTGGAACGCACTGCTAGTGGAGGTAGTGGAAGCAGGCACATTAGCAACGTTTAAGGCATACCTTGATAGATACACGAACAGGAGGCAAACAGACAGGCATGGACAATAAGTAGCGCACCTAAATAAGGATTAGAATCAGAGCATGCTTGGTGGGCTGTATTCCTGTGCTGTATTGAATTGTGTTGTATTGTATTGAATTGTAATGGTGACCATGAAATTAACATCAGTTTTTGTAAACTTCCATCTGGTTCATGAATGCTCTTCAAGGAAGAAAATCTGCCCTCTTTACCCGGTCTGGCTCTACACATGGCTGCAGACCCACAGCAACTTGACTCGTAACCGACCTCTGAAGTAACTGAGCAAGCCCTCAGTGAACACTGCCCTTGCCAGTGACATCCACTTTCTATGAAAGATCAAAGGAAAAAAAGATTCATCTAAAACATTGTGAATAAAACTGGACACAATCAAGTGGAGATGCAATACAAATAAGAAAGTGTCTGTTGCATTTTATGAGCCCTGTCTGATTTTTAATTCCAATAACTTCAGTAGAACTCTGATTCTTTTGAATAGTGATTCCATCTCCTCCCCATGTCCAATTTCAACCCCATCATCTGGTTCTTACCAAGTTGCTGTTTGTGATACTTTGCTGTGTTCAAATTGGCTGCTGCATTTCAAAATTAATTGACAGTAAAGCAATTTAGGACATCTTGAGCTAGTGAAAGGGGCTATGTAAATACACATTCTTGAAATTAAGATCAGCAAGATGATTTGTTTAATTTCAGATAATAGCCTGTGCCGTAACAGTCCTGGTGATGGACTCAAGCCAGGAAAGTCCCCATTTAAATGAATTAGCTGTTCAGCACAAGATGCTTTCGTCTGTCTTCAGGAACCAAGGACTATGGAGAGGCAGAAAATCAATCAGAGACTTGTCACCTGATAGAGATCCAGTGTTCACCTACTGGAAAGGTATTCGTGTATTGCATAAGGTCAGGTCAGGACTGGACTGTATCATTTGCCCACATGATTGCTTGTCACTGAGCTATTCACGGTTCAGGCCTTCATCTGGGAGAGATAATAGAAAATCCATGTACCAATTGAACTATGTTCTAACATATGGCTATAGTTTGAAGAAAAGGATAATATTGTAGGAGGAAGAGGAGAAATTGATGGACATGGTACAAGAGAAGTGCAGAATTTTTCTTAATGTCAGGAGCAGTACTTTTCTCTTTGAATGCATAGCCCAACCTGGTACTTCCAGCGCAGAATGGAGGTAGTGATGCACTGTCAGAGGTGCCATTGTTTGGATGAGATATAAGACTAAGGCTCCATCTGCCCTTCTGGGTGGATGTAAAGAATCTCATGGGAACCTTTTAGGAAATGCAGAGTTTCCCCGATATACAAGCTAACATATCCTTTAATATTTTCCGGACATTTATGGCATTAGTATTTCTGGGTGCTTGGTATGTGCAGATTGGCTTCCACATTTCTGGCATGTGCTTATGAACAAAAACTTAATTGGCTGGAAAGTGATTTGAAACCAGGGAGCTGGAAGTGCAATATCAAATGCAGGGTCTTATTTTCCTGATATGCCTTGTTTTTACTTCTTCCCTCAGATGGTCACCTTCCCTCTGATAAGTTTTAGTTTTAATTTTAATGGAGTAATGGTCCCAGATTCATAAATATACAGCGCAAACAAGCCCATTGACCCTCTCCCAGCTTTCTGTGGAAGAGATACCAAGCAATTGACTACTTGCATCTAATGCTTTAAGCCCTTATTCATACTGATGCATGCAAAAATATGTTGATAGAATGTTTTGTTGAGCAAGTATAAATGTATTTATGAATTGACAGATAATTAATAAAGCTATAGTCTGCACAAAGCCTCTAGACTTTTCTTTAAGCTTTTCACATAATAGCAAAGTTAACAACTCTGGACAATTTCCTAGATGTCTCATATCATTTCCCAGCACTGAAACACTGCTTCCACACTCACCATTCATCTATCCTCCAGGCACATGAACCATCCTGCAGACCGGGCTAAAACTCTTTGTTCCCAATTAGATTAATCTTAGTGGCTTATACGTGAAAGAGATTTCATTTCCTTTCTCCCAGCACATCCCTTCCTAAATTTCTATATTTGTATTAACTTGTTTATGGGAGATGGTGATGAAGTGGCAATATAATTGAACCAGTAATCCAGAGGCCCGGGCTTATTCTGGAGGGCTATGAGTATAAGTCACACTAGGCAGCCGGTGCATTTTAATTCATTTGATAAATCCAGAACGCAAAAGCTGGTTTTGATGATAATTGACATGGTGACTACCATTGATTGTTGTAAAGACCCGTCTGCTTCACCAGTGTATTTTTGGGATGCCTCATTACGGTAGGATGCTGGAAATCGAGTCTAGTGTTAATCATAGCTCAGTTCACCTCTCAGAGTCAGAAAGTTTTGGGTTAAAGACCCACTTTGGAAAGTCGAATATATAATCCACTCTGGCATTCTGATGTAGTGCTGAAGGTATGCTGCATTGGTGGTTTAGAAGAGGTCAGAGGTCAATGGGAATGGCTAGAGGAGGTTAGAAAATGGATAAATTCATGGATAGAGTTGTAGAAAGATAAGGTTTTAAACGTCAGCCCTCAGCTGCCTTTACTTCTGTGGCTGTAAGAGCCTCTTTAAAACCACAGGTCTTTTCCAAATCTTCAGTCATTTATCTTCAATTTCCTCTATCATTCAGCTTCTGTTCCTTTCTTTCCTTTGCCTGAAGACATTTAATGTTTCCTCTATTTATTCTTGGCGTGCAGACAAGAGAATTTATTGCCAAATCATAAGAGTCAAATCAAAGAGGACAGAGCATTCAGGGAGAAATACATGGGGCATATAAGAAATGTACCACAATACTCATAATGATTTTAATGCACATAAAACAAAGGGCAGAAGTAGGCCATTCACCCCATCAGGTTCATTTCATCACTTAATGAGATCATGGTTGTTCTGATAACCCTCAACTTTCCTGCCTTTTCCCCACAACCTTTGATTCTCTGACTGCTTGAAAATGTCTACCTCAGCCGTGAATATACTTAAAGACCTAGCCCCTACAAATTCCACAAATTCATTATCTGCTGACAGAAGAGATTCCTCCTTATCTGTGTTCAAATGGCCATACTCTGAGCTGATGCTTTCTGGTCCTATACTCCCACTTTTCCCCATCTACTCTGTCAAAAAACCCCAAGAATCTTACTCCAGTGAGTATAAGCTCAACCCCTCATAAGACAGTCCCTCCATACCTGGAACATTTTATAAATGGTGGATTAGCCATGCCAAATTACCCACAGTGTTCAGGGATGTGTAGGTTAGGTGTTTTAACCATGGGAAATGCAAGGTTACAGGGTAGGGGCATGGTTCTGGTTGGGATGTTCTTTGGAGGGTTGGTGTGGACTTGTTGGTGTGGGGATTCTATTTAAAAAATTTGCTGTAGAAACTTGCACATCTGGCAGCATGCACAGAGAGAAAGCAGAGTTAACATTTCAAGTCCAGCAATCCTTCCACAGAGTTATTCATATCCCTCCATTCCTGGCATCAGCCAACCTTTTCTGGACTACCTCCAATGCCAGTATATCTTCCCTTTGATAACGGGCCCAAAACTGTTCACAGAATTCCAGCCGTTGTCTGACTAGTGCCTTGGATAATTTCAGCAGGACATCCCTATTTTCCTAATCCATTCCCTTCCAAAATACATCACCTCACATTTGCTTGGATTAAATTCCACCTGCCATTTCTTTGCCCAAGTCTCCAGCCTATCTATAATTGGCTGCATCCTCTGGCAATCCTCCTCGCTATTTGCAGCTTCCCCCAATCTTTATGTCATCGACAAATTTATTAATCAGGCCACCTACGTTCTCCTCCAAATAATTCATGTATATTACAAACAACAGGGGTCCCTGCAGAGCATCACTGGTCACAGATCTCCAGTCAGAAAAACAACCTTCCACTGCTTCTCTTTGTCTTCTATGACCAAGCCAGTTCTGTATCCATTTTACCAGCTCACCACCGATTCCATGTGGTTCACTTTCTGTAGCAGCCTGCTATGAGGGACCTTGTCAAAGGCCTTGCTAAAGTCCATGCCAAATGCTTTAGTAAAGTCCATGTAGACAACATCCAGTGTCCTCCCTCATCAATCATCTTTATCATTTCCTCAAACAACTCAGTCAAATTTGTGAGACACAGCCTCCCTGCACAAAGCCACACTACTTATTGCTAATAATTCCATATTTGCCAACGTTCTTTTTTTTCCCCTTTACTCATTCACAGGATGAGGGCATCAATGGCTAGGCAGTATTTATAGCCCATCCCTAATAGCCCAGTGGGCAGTTAAGAGTCAACCACATTGCAGTGGGACTGGAGTCACATGTAGGCCAGACCAGGTAAGGATGGCAGTCTCCTTCCACATTAGTGAGCCAGTTGGGTTTTTCCAACAATTGACAATGGATTCACGGTCATCATTAGATGCTTAATTCCAGATATTTTATTGGATTCAAATTCCACCATCTGCCATGATTTGAATCTGGGTCCCCAGAACATTACCTGGGTCTCTGGATTAATAGTCCAGCAATAATACCACTAGGCCATCGCCGCCTAGGTGATTTGCATTCCCTATTATCACTGAACTTAGATGCTAACATTTTTGTGATTCATGCCCTAATCCTGATTCCTGTGGTACTCCACCAGTAACAGATGTCTAACTTGAAAATTCCAACTCTCTGTCTTCTATTAGCTAGCCAATCCTCTATCCATGCTACTTTGCTACTTTCCAACACCATTGGCTCTCATCTTATTAAGTAACCCCATATGTGGAATATATTGAGTGCCTTTTGGAAATCCAAATATATTTCATCTACTGGTTTCCTCTATTTTCTTTACACGTAGATTGGGAGAATCAAAAATGCAAACGTAGTCTGGAAAATGAGTTGATAGAGAACTTTCTGGGTGGTATCTTAGAGCAATACCTTCTAGAACCAACCAGGGAGGAGCTATCCATGATCTTGTAATGTGCAATGAAACATGATGAAACAATAACCTGATGACAAAGGAGCCTATAGGTGACAGTGATCACAACATGATAGAATTTCATGGACCCAAATTCTGGAATTATTTTATTCATTGGATTGCTATGGGCTGGGAGTCACATGTAGCCTAGACCAAGTAAAGATGGCAGTTTTTTTTTTTAACTCAATGAGATAAGAGCTCACAGGGTGTTGGGGATAATATTTTACCATGGATAGAGGATAGCTGAAGGCATGTCTGCTAACAGTTGAACGATTTCAACTGGGGAGGTACAAAAGGTCAGAATTGGAGGAGCTCAGAGATCTCTGAGGATTCTGGATTGAAGGAGACTATGGAATTATGAAAGGGCAAGGCCAAAGTGGAATTTAAAACCCAAGATGAGAAAATTAAAATCAAGGTGTTGATTGGGAGTCACTAAGTCAGCAACCACATGGCAAGAGAATTTGCTGCTAATTAATTCATAGGCAGAATAAGTTAGAGGACTTCAAGTTTGAATAACGTATAATGTGGGAAACCATCGGGATCAGAAGTAACTAACACTCAGGTTGGTTTCCACCAGGGCCACTCAGCTCTTGATCTCATCACAGCCTTGGTCCAAACATGGCCAAGAGAGCTGAACTCCAGAGGTGAGATGAGAGTGACAAACCTTGACATCGAGGCAACATTCAACTGAGTGTGGCATCAAGGAGGACTTGCAAAAATAGAGTCAATCAATAGGATCCAATGGGAAACTCTTTGCTGGTTGGCATCATACCTACTACAAAGCAAAATATTTGTCATTGCTACTTGTCAATAATCTCAGCACCAGGACATCCCTGCAGGAGTTCCATGGGGTAATGTCCTCATCCAAACTGTCTTTAGCTGCCTCATCAATGATTTTCCCTCCACCATAATGTCAGAAGTGGGGATGTTTGTTGATGTTTAAACAATTAGAGTCAAAGATATATACAGGACAGAAACAGACCCTTCAGTCCAACTCATCCATGCCAACCAGATATCCTATATAAATCTAACCCCATTTGCCAGCATTTGGCCCATATCGCTCTAAACTCTTCCTATTCATATATCCATCCAGATGCCTTCTAAATGTTGTACTTGTACCAGTCTCCACCACTTCCTCTGGCAGCTCATTCCATACACACACCACCCTCTGTGTGAAAAAGTTGCCCCTTAGGTCCCTTTTATATCTTTCTATTCTCACCTTAAACCTACGCCCTCTAATTTTGGATTTTGCCATGCTGGGGCAAAGACCTTGCCTATTTACCCTATCCATGTCCCTCATGATTTTATAAACCTCTATTAGGTCATCCCTCAGCCTTCAATGCTGCAGAGGAATTTAGCCCCAGCCTATTCAGCCTCCCCCAATAGCTCAAACACTTCAACCCTCGCAACATCCTTGCAAATCTTTTCTGAACCCTTTCTAGTTTCATGACATCTTTCCTTTAAGATGGAGACCAGAATTGCATGCAATACTCCAAAAGTGACCGACCCAATGTCCTGTACAGCCACAACATGACCTCCCAACTCCTATACTCAATGCACTGACCAATAAAGGAATGCCTTCTTCACTGTCCTATCTACCTGCAATTCCACTTTCAAGGAACAATGAACCTGCACCCCAAGGTCTCTTTGTTCAGCAACACTCTTCAGGACCTTATGATTAAGTATATCACTCCTGCCCTGACTTGCCTTACCAAAATGTGGTATCTCACTTTTATCTAAATTAAATTCCATCTGCCAATCCTCAGCCCATTGGCCCATCTGATCAAGATTCTGTTGTACTCTGAGGTAACCTTCTTCGCTGTCCACTACACCTCCAATTTTGGTGTCATCTGCAAACTTACTAACCATACCTCTAAATTTAAATCATTTATATAAATGACAAAAAGCAGTAAACCCAGCACCAATCCTGAAAAGCAACCCTCCACCACTACCCACTGTATTCTGGCTTTGAACCAGCTTTGTATCCAAATAGCTAGTTCTCCTTGTATTCCATGTGATCTAACCTTGCTAACCAGTCCACCATGCAGAACCTTGTCGAATGCCTTACTGAAGTCCATATAGATCATATCCACTGCTCTGCCCTCATCAATACTCTTTGTTACTTCTTCAAAAAACTAAATCAAGTTAGTGAGACATGATTTCCCCTGCAAAAGCTATGTTGACTATCCCTAATCAGTCCTTGCTTTTCCAAATATGTGTAAATCCTGTCCCTTAGGATTCCTTTCAACAGCTTGCCCCCCCACCACCGATGCCAGGCTCACCTGTCTATAGTCCCCTGGCTTTTCCTTATCACATTTCTTAAATAGTATCACCATGTTAGCCAACCTGTGGCTATCGATGATACGAATATCTCAGCAAGGGGCCCAGCAATCACTTCCCTAGCTTCCCACAGAGATCTAGAATACACCTAATCAGGTCCCCGAGATTTATCTATCTTTTTGCGTTTTAAGACGTCCAGCACCTCCTCCTCTGTAATATGGATATTTTTCAAGATGTCACTATTTATTTCCCCATGTTCTGTATCTTCCATATCCTAGTCCACAATAAACACTGATGCAAAATACTTGTTTAATATCTCCCCCATCACCTGTGGTTCCACGCATAGATGGCCTTGCTGATCTTAAAGGGGCCCTATTCTCTCCTTAGTTACCCCTTTGACCTTAATGTATTTGTAGAATCCCTTTGGATTCTCCTTAACCCTATTTGCCAAAGCTATTTCATGTCCTATTTTGCCCTCCTGATTTCCGTCTTAAATATACTTCTGCTGCCTTTACACTCGTCTAGGGATTCGCTTGATACCTGCTTCCTTCTTTTTCTTAATCAAAACCTCAATTTCTCTAGTCATCTGGCATTCTCTACACCTACCAGCCTTGCCCTTTGCCCTAACAGGAACACACTGTCTCTGGACTCTCGTGATCTCGCTAATTCTTGAAGGGTCACTGGTCCTGAAATGTTAACTCTGCTTTCTCTCCAGAGATGCTGCCAGACCTGTTGGGTTTCTCTAGCAATTTCTGCTTTTGTTTCAGATTTTCAGCATCCGCAGGCCTGTTTTATCATATGTTGGAGTATTGAGTACACTTGTAGATGCCACGTTTTTGATAAAATGCATTGGAGAGCGTGCAGAAGAAATTTTAAAGCATGATTCCAGGAATGAGAAACTTCAATTTTGAGGATAGATCTAAGAAGATCTAAGACTGTCCTTTCAAAGTTCAATTGAAGCATTCAGGAGGAAACTAGATCTCAATTTGGATGGAAATGGTGTGCAGGGATGTGGGGAAAGGTTCTACATAACAGTACAAGAGCAGATACAATGGGCTGAATGGTCTTTCTCTGTTACCTGGGGAGAGTTGGTGTAGTGTTCCCATGGGGAGTTGGTGTAGTTGTAGTATCTCTGGTTTAGTAATCCAGCACCCAGGCCTAATGCTCAAGAGCTATAGGTTCATACCTCACCTATTGCACAATTCAAATTCAAAATATAAACAAAAACACAACAATGTAATTTGTTATTTAAAAATTCATCTGGTTGACTAATGTCCTTTTGGGGTGGCATGGTGGCTCAGTGGTTAGTACTGCTGCCTCACAGCACCAGGGACCAGGGTTCGATTCCAGCCTCAGGTGACTGTGTGGAGTTTGCACATTCTCCCCGTGTCTGCGTGGGTTTTCCTCCGGGTGCTCCAGTTTCCTCCCAGGGTCCAAAGATGTGCAGGCTAGGTGGATTGGCCATGCTAAATTGCACATAGTGTCCAGGGATGTATGGTTAGGTGGATTAGCCGTGGAAAATGCAGGATTACAGGGATAGGGTGGGGGTGTGGGTGGGATGCTCTTCAGAGGTGTGGTGTGGACGCAATGGGCCAAATGACCTGCTTCCACACTGTAGGGATTCTATGATAACAATTCTGCAAATCTGAGCGACACATACTCCAGCTCTGGCTGGTTAGCACAGGACTCCGGGTGATTAGCTGAGATAGGGCACCAGTGATTAATTGAGGCAAGGCTCCAGGTGACTGGCTGAGACAGGACTCCTGGTATAACAAGGTGTAGGGTCTAGGCCAGAGATAGTAGGAACTGCAGATGCTGGAGAATCCGAGACAACAAGGTGCAGGGCTGGATGAACACAGCAGGCCAAGCAGCATCATAGGAGCAGAAAGGCTGACGTTTTGGGCCTAGACCCTTCATCAGAAAAGGGGGAGGGGAAGGGGGTTCTGAAATAAATAGAGTGGGAGGCGGATAGAAGATGGATAGAGGACAGGATAGGTGGAGAGGAAACAAACAGGTCGAAGAGGCGGGGATGGGGCCAGTAAAGGTGAGTGTAGGTGGGGAGTTAGGGAGGGGATAGGTCAGTCCAGGGAGGACGGACAGGTCAAGGAGGCGGGATGAGGTTAGTAGGTAGGAGATGGAGGTGCGGCTTGAGGTGGGAAGAGGGGACAGGTGGGAGGAAGGACAGGTTAGGGAGGCAGGGATGAACTGGACTGGTTTTGGGATGCAGTAGGGGGAGGGGAGATTTTGAGGCTTGTGAAATCGTAGGGTCTAAGCCCGAAACGTCAGCCTTCCTGCTCCTCTGATGCTGCTTGGCCTGCTGTGTTCATCCAGCTCTACACCTTGTTATCTCAGATTCTCCAGCATCTGCAGTTCCTGCTTTCTCTGAAACGGGACTCCTAGTGATTGGCTGAAACAGGTCTTCAGGTGATTGGCTGAGACAGGGCTCCAAGTAATTAGCTGAGAGTGGGCTCCAGTTCACTGGCCGAGTCAGGGCTCCAGGTGATTGGCTGAGACAGGGCTCCAGTTGATTGGCTGAGACAGGGCTCCAGGTGATTGGCTGAGACAGGGCTCCAAGTAATTGGCTGAGAGTGGGCTCCAGGTAATTAGCTAGGACAAGGCTCCAAGTAATTGGCTGAGCGTGGGCTCCAGGTAATTAGCTAGGACAAGGCTCCAGGCGATTGGCTGAGAGTGGGCTCCAGGCGATTGGCTGAGAAGAGGGCTCCAGGCGATTGGCTGAGGGCTCCAGGTGATTGGCTGAGGGAGGGCTCCAGGTCATTGGCTGTGGGTGGGCTCCAGGTGACTGGCTGAGAGAGGGCTCCAGGTGATTGGCTGAGGGCGGTCTCCTGGTGACTGGCTGAGGGAGGGCTCCAGGTGACTGGCTGAGGGCGGGCTCCAGGTGATTGGCTGAGGGAGGGCTCCAGGTGATTGGCTGAGAAGAGGGCTCCAGGTGATTGGCTGAGAAGAGGGCTCCAGGTGATTGGCTGAGGGAGTGCCAGGTGAGCAGTACAGGTAAACGGTTTCAGGTGAGCGGGGAGTTGTTTTCTTGTTGTGGTGAGTTAGAGGGAGTAGCGGGACCGTCAGTTTTCAGCCCCACAGTTACCACTGGCAGCAGTAGCGAGTAGCGAGTAGCGAGCAGGGAGCAGCCGGCCCAGTGATGGAAGGAGCAGCCAGGTACCTCTAGGAGGGAAGTTTCCATCACCGGAGTCTGCAGGAAAGCCCTGATCCCCACCTAACATCACCCCCCGCCCCCAACCGACTGGGTTTGTGGAAACAATTAGAAATAATCTCCGTGGAAATCTCCCCGGGTTGGAGAAAGAATTTAATGAGCGGTTAAAAAAAATTAATGACTTTTTGTTAGGATCGTAAACCTCGAGCCGAAATAATCGCCAAATGAATTCAAACCAAAAGCTCCCTCATTCTGTACTTTTTTAAAAAGTGTTTTGTTCCTTCAACTCTTCCTCTTTCATACTTTAATGGGCAGCCCATTATTTCTGAATGAGAGATGTTGGTGAGACTTCCCAGTGAATTTTAAAATTTAAAAAATATCTGTATGTAAAAGATCAAGAGCAAAGCACAGAGATTTCCCTTTTAATTAAATTCAGCCCATGAGCCCTATCGGCTGGGGAAACTTCATCTTGAAGCTTAAAAAGATTAGGTTTCATTTTATTCTGTGGGCTTGTGGAGAGTTATAACGCTCGTAGTTTGAGGAGTGAATGTCAAGTGGGATTCTCCATTTCTGAAGATGACCAGATTGGAGCTGGATAATATCTTGGAGGCGGTGTACGGTGGAGTGGACCCCAGCATCTCTGGCAATGGTGGAGAGGAGTGTGCTGCCTTCCTGCCAGTTGGTCAGCGTATCCTGGAGACTATCATCATGATCACTGTATCCTTGCTGCAAATTGTGTTGGCCTACAGGAAAATCAGAGGTGTTCAGGAGGATTGGACATTACAAACATCATCACAGGAATGTGAGGAGACTCTGGGGAGAAACCTCCTGCAGGCTGTCCTATGCCTGACCTTCGGGTTGGAGATTGGATTTAAGTGTGCGACCAAAACGCTCATCTACCTGCTGAATCCTTGTCATGTTGTTACTGCCCTACAGGTATGTTGTTCTTCCACATGGGGGGGAAAACAGTCTCATCTACTATGTTAAAAAGAGAGGAAAAAAAGACTTGTATTTATATAGCACCTTTCTCTGTGTTTTACAATTAGTGAACTGTTAATTAAATCTTTTTGAAGGGTGGTCAGGTAGGAAACACAGCAGCTAATTTACACTCAGCAGCCTCCTGCAGACAGCAAAGTTAAAATGACCAAATATTGTTTTCAAAAATTTCTTATTTATGGTGATGGGGGCAAAATATTTAGGACAACACTGGGGATTACACCCTGAGCTTCTTTCAGATTGTACTGTGAATCTTAAATCCACCTGAGCAGGCAGTTAGGACCTTGGTTAAACATCTTATCGGAGAGAAGGCATCTCTAACAGTGCAGCACTCCAGTACTGCACTGATGTGTCATGATTGGTGTTTGTGCTCAAGCCATGGTGTGGGATTTGGAGACTTATCCTTGTGATTCGGGGACAAGTGCAGTGCCACTGAACCCCAGCTCACCCCAATAATTTAATATTTTGGGGAAACATTTTGAGGCAAAACTCAATAAATGCAAACACGAGCAGTAAAAGATAGCCAAGGGGATCATGTGGGGAGGAAAGGCAAGAATGTGGAATTGAGACCACATTAGATCGGTCATGATTGTTTGACTAGTGGAGCAGGTTTGAGGGATTGAATGATCTTTTCTTTGCTCTTAACTCTTAAGTGTGTGTTGCTGGAGGTTGGATGACAGGAAGAGGCTTTTTGTTTTTTAAAAAAATTCATTTGCAGGATGTGGGTGTTACTAGTTGGGCCCGTGTTTATTGCCCATTCCTAATTAAGGATCAACTAAATTGCTGTGGGTCTGACATCATGGTCATCCTGATTTTTATTGAATTCAAGTTCCATTATGTGCCATGGCAGGATTTGAACCCTGGTCTCCAGAACATTACTTGGGTCTCTAAATTAATAGTCCAGCGATTAATACCCTTAGGCCATCATCTCCCTTCCCCGTGAGCTATGAGCATTGGCATGGATAAGATGAGTTGCTACTGTATTTTGGGCAATGGTTTAGTGGTTTTGTCACTGGACTGGTAATGGAGGGTCCCGGTTAATGATCTGTGATCTACCCGGCCAGGGCAGGTGAATTAACAATCTGGGATTGGCTATTAATGACCATGATGTGATTGGCATTAAACCCAATCTAGATTACTAATGTTCCCCATGGGCAAAACTGTGGTTTCCAATGATTTGCCCCATTGTGTGTAGTGCTAATGTCCCTACCCGGACCAAGAGACCTGCGTTCAAGTCCCACCCGCTCTAGAGATGCGTCGTAACATCTCTGAATAGGTTGATTAGTAACCTATTTTTCTAATGCTCCCCTTTAGAAGATCTGTCTGTCCTACATGTGACTCTAGACTCTCAGATTCTTAGTTCCAAAAAATCTCAATAAAGAAATGAACTTAAATGGTTCCAGATGTAATTTGTTGGGATAAGGGAATGGGGATGGTGTTACACCTGTTGAAACTTACACCAAGTAAAGTTAGGAAGCACCTCCTTTATTGCAAAGGGTGATAGAAAGCAACATGTTGCTTAAATTATTGATGGTGTACCTGAGATTCATATATTTTTCACTATCCAAAGCGTGTCTTGGGGGATAGAAAAAGACATTTCTCTCTCCATGAGTAAATTGAACAGTTTTATGTCTCAACCTAATTCAGGTATTGTAATGCTGGAAAAATCCAGTGGATGAGATTGAAAAATTATACTTTAGAGTTTGTAATTGTAAAGAGCTTCATGATTGACCTGACTTTTGTTAATAGTTCAGCTATTGGTAATGGGAATGTGCAAAATAATCTTTATTGCCAAGTTAAGAATCAACCACATTGCTGTGAGTCTGGAGTCACATGTAGGCCAGACCAGGTAAGGATGGCAGTTTCCTTCCCTAAAAGACATTAGTGAACCAGATGGGTTTTTCCAACAGTCCATAAATGTGGTGCTGGAAAAGCACAGCCGGTCAGACTGCAACTGAGGAGCAGGAAAGTCAACTTTTGGGGCTGAAACCCTTTGTCAGGACTGGGAAGGGGGAGGGAAGCCCAGAATAAATAGAGGGAGGAGGATGGGGCTAGGGGGAGGGTAAGTGAGATGAAGATAGGTGGATGCAGGTAGGGGGTTATTGTTGTTGGTCAGTGGGTAGGTGAGTCAGAAGATGGGCAGGTTGGGAGAGGAGAGATTTTTGAAGCTGGTGAATTCAATGTTCAGGCCATTGGGCTGTAAGCTCCCAAGGTGAAATATGAGGTGTTGTTCCTCCAGTTCACGTTTGGCCCCTCTCGGACAATGGAGGAGGCCAAGGATGGAGGAAGAGGGGGCTGGGAGTTAAAGTGGATGGCAACTGGAAGGTCAGGTTGGTTGGTGCATGCAGAGCGCAGATGTTTTTCCAGCAATTGACAATAAATTCATGGTCGTCATTAGACTCCTAGTTCTAGATTTTTTTATTGAATTCAAATTCCTCCAACTGCAGTGGTGGGATCCTATTTAACAGTGCAGCAATAATACCACTAAACCATCGCCTCCCCATCTTCTCTTTTGCTGAAAGAAAATGTGGTTTCACTAAAAGTGTGCGAAGCTGTCAGATTGTTGCAAAAAAAATCTCCACTGATGCACTAATGTCCCCCCAGGTGGAAACTTGCAGTCCTTATATAGTCTGTTACTCCAATTCTTCACCAACCTAGTTTATCTTTAGGTGACCTCTAAAGTGGCCAAACAAAGCACTTCCTTATAGCAAACTACAACTAGAATGGATCAGGAAGATGACACACCATGTTCTATTCTGGAAAGCCGGTTGGAGAAAGATATAACTTTCTACTTGGTCAATTTCTACTCCGTTTTGTATTCTGGAGTTGACCATTCCAACCATGCAGCCCCTAACTCAACCTCCCCACAATTTCCAAGAGTTGTATATGTAAGTACCCATCATGGGCATGTTATAATCAATATTCCCTCTAATTTTCTGACCAGCTGCATTGGCTTCCTAGGCTCATGCACATTAGTGGCAGTTGGGATTTTGGAACCTGGACCTTCTGACCTAGCAGTTTGGACACTACCACTACCCACCATACCCTTAGATTAGTAGCTACTTATATGTTCTGTAGATATTTTTCCTAATCAACCTGTTTAGAGATGTTATTATACACCTCTGCAGCATATGGGACTTAAACCCAGGCATCCCAGCTCAAAGGTAGGCGCACTACCACTGCATCACAAGAGCCCTCTGTGTTCAAGGTATCAACCTATCTAGAGGTGTAATTACACGTGACTGGGGCAGGCTAGACTTGAACCCAGGCCTTCAGGCTCAGAGATGGGGACGTTACCACTGCACCACGAGAGCCCTTACATAAGCTCAAGTAAAACCTCAACAAATGCTGATCATCTGTATATAATTAAACAGAATTCATATAAAATTAACAATCATTGATGAACAATAAATGCCAGTGACATCCATATCTTGAGATTAGCCTCAAAAATCTGTAAAATTAATTTGGGGCCGTGTTCCAAAAGTGAAAGCTGAGTTTAGCAATCCATTTTCTACTCTGTCCTGGAGGTAAAGATTTTTATATCCAGCAACAAAACTCCTCCCTGTGGTGAATAATTTGCTGTGTAATGTCCTGCATGTGGATGCAAGTGCGTTGTGATCTCTTGTGTTGTACCTTACCTGTTTTCCTAGGTGTGTCAGCCAAAATGATTTTGTTTAAAGGAACTCTCTTTACACTGATTACAACAATCCCCCAAGTAAATTATCACATAAATATGATCATGCTTGTACGGGAGGTCTGAATAATTTGTTACCCTGATATCTGTTGTCTTGCATTTACATCCCCATTTTATTAGGGAACAATATTCAGTACTTGTTCAGCTGTTCTATATTCTTGTTATTTGAGTTGCAGAAAATTCATTTTTTTATTGGAAATAAATACCCGTTTTTCACTTTCACTATTGACACATTTTTGAGGCACGCAGGCAAATGGGAATAGTTTAAAGTGGCATATGGTCAGCACAGACATGGTGGAACGAAGGGCCTGTTGCTGTTCTATGTTCTATATTCCATATACATATCTGACAAATAGCAAGGAGACCTCTACGTTGAAAAGCCAACATGCAAAGGATGCTTTAACAATGTTTCAATAATACAGTAATACAATCATACAGGTATTTACTCCCGCTGTGGTGAGTGTGTCAGTCTAGCCTGGGTTTGAAACATGCTGCTGTCTGCTCTTAATGTCCTGGCTTGGACCTCAGCCCCTCACTTCGGGCCACCATACGCTTGTTTATTTGGGACCTTGAGACCACTGTGCATGTACCCCCTCTGTCACCACTCTCCCCCACTGTCCATCCATGAGGCTCATCCTACTTGCTTGGCATCCTCACATTGTTTCGCAGGCACATGGAAAGTCTCTACAGTCTGATCACCATGTGAACACACATTGCGATGTCACTGCTGGCTGTGCCTGCATTCTGGCGCATGGGAATTGACTTTCCAGTTTATTTGGGTTGATTTGTCCTGTTTGCATTATCATGTATCTGGACCTTGTTGAATTGTGGTGTTTAAGTAATTGCAGCCTGTATTTACAGGGGAACTACCAGTTTGGTTGTTTTTAAAATATTTGCATTGTGCCACACTTTTCATAGCCTCCAGGCATCCCATGATGATTGACAAACAGTGAGGTAATTTTGACCTTGACAACACAGTGTGGAGCTGGAGGATCTTGCTGTTTTTTTGTGGTATTCATTCGTGGGCACCACTGGATGGGCATATATTGCCCATCTCTAGTAATTCTTGAGAAGGTGGTAATGAACTGCTGCCTTGAACCACTGTAGTCTTCTTCCTATTGGTAGACCCACAATGCCATTAGAAAGGGAATTGTGATGTAGGATAGTCCACCAATTTGTGTATGACAAGCTCCCACACAGGAATGTGCTAATAACCAGATTGTCTGCTTTAAGGATGTTGTTTGAG